TCTTTACAATATATCAAAATATTATCGATGAAAACTACAACAAACTCATCAAGGTAGGTTTTAAAAATTAGGTTCATTAGATCCATAAATGCTGCCGGAGCATTAGTCACCCCAAATGGCATAAAGGAACTCAAAATGACCATACCTTGTTTTAAACGCCATTTTCTCAACATCCTCTGCCTTAACTTTCAGCTGATGATACCCGGATCTCAAATCGATCTTAGAAAACACCTGTGATCCTTGCAACTGGTCAAATAAATCATTAATACGGGGTAGGGGGTATTTGTTCTTTATTGTTACCTTATTAAATTCTTGGTAATCGATGCACAAAAGCAAAGTTCTATCCTTCTTTTTCACAAACAACACTGGTGCACCCCAAGGTGAAGTGCTAGGTCTGATAAACCCCTTGTCAAGTAGGTCTTGCAACTGTTCTTTCAATTCTTTCATTTCAGCGGTAGCCATTTTGTAGGTAGTTTTAGAAATGGGCTGGGTGCCCGGCACAGTTTCAATAGTAAACTCTATCTCCCTATCTACCAATTCCCCTGGTAATTCATTTGGAAACACATCTGAAAATTCTCTAACAATAGGGATATCGTTCAATTCAGCATTCACAGATTGTTCAGACAGCACATAGCACAAATAACCCTGGCACCCTTTCCTGATCAGTTTACATGCTTTCATTGCAGATATTAAATAAGGTGGAGGCACTACCCCATTACCCATGAACACAATCTCTTTTTGTTCTGGTGGTTTAAACACAACCTATTTTGTCACACAGTCAATGGTGGCACAATACTTGGTTAACCAATCCATGCCTAAAATTACATCAAAATGCCTAAAGTTCAAGGGCAACAAATCTACATATAGGATAGCATCCTCAACACGCATTTCACAAAACCGGTATATAGATTTACACAATACAGATTCCCCAGATGGAGTAGACACACATAGCAGATATGGCAATAATTCTAAGGGTTTATTCAATCTAGATGCGAATGCATATGTCATAAAAGAGTGTGTGGATCCGGAATCAATTAATACAAAAGCATCCTGATTACATATAGAAATGGTACCTGAGACAACTACGTTGGCATTCCGTGTATCGCCCGAAACAAGCGCAAAAACTCTCCCCTGTCTCACGGCATCCCCAGTGGTAGCGGATCTCAAAGTATTTCCCAGTTTCGGGATCGATGCAGTGGAACTAGCAGCTATCTTTTCCCCATTCTGATTACAATCTCGGGCCATATGCCCTTGTTTCCCACATTGAAACAGGCTCCTGACACACGGTAACAAACTCCATGGTGCTTTCTGCTACAAATATTGCACATGGGAGCTGTGTCTCGGGAAGAATTTTTGAAGTATTTGAGGAGCCCGTATTTTGCTTCTTTGAAAATTTCTTCTTCGAAAAGAAGCCTTGCCTTTTGTTACTCTTCCATTCTGTTGTTGACTTGGTCCGTCTAGCTATGTTAGCCTCTGATATGATAGCCCTGTCTAGCACCCCAATGTAGGTCTCTAGCTTCAAAACATTCACTCTTTCTAGGATGCCACTTCGGAGCCCACCTTCAAAGTGTCTCGCCTTCTTATAGTCAGTATCAATTACATGTGGTGCAAACCTGGCCAATTCGGTGAATTTGGCCTCATACTCAGCTACGGTCATACTGTCTTGCTTTAGTTCCATGAACTCAGCTACTTTCCTATCCTGAACACACTGCGGGAAGTACTTGTCGTAGAAAATTTCCAAAAATGTTGCCCAATTAGCATCTTTGTAATTCTCACGCATCAACATTCACTATCTTCTTGCTTCGTCTTCTAGCATAAAGGTGGCTAGAAGCACTTTCTATGTATCCAAACACGGAAACACTTCAAACACCCAAGCTTCAGCTTTCAAAGGATCTAATCCACCATGGAACTATGGTGGTTTCATTTTCTTGAACTCTTTGGTGAGAGCTATGATTCGGTCATCATTCTGATTATCTGGCATGGGTGGTGCCAGAGGTGGAGGTGGCGGATGTGGTTGCTGCCACTGTTATTGCCACTCCTGTTGCTGTCTCAAAGTTTCTGCCATTCCCTGTATCAGTCTTTCCATCCTGTCCAGTCTGGCAGTAGAAGATTTCTCTATCTCATCACCTCTTGTTCTCACCATCTGATTAAACTTACATTATACTTCATACAAAATATTTACAAGTATGCATATATTAAAGAGCATACATATTCAAAATAATTTGCACAGCAAGCAAATCACAAACTTATAACACATAGTTGTTCACATTGAAACATTTAGATGCATCCTCGATACTATCAAATTCAAACTTATCACATGAATGCATCCTATATCTTTTCTAGACGCTTATTGCTCTTTTGGACAGGTGTGTGAGTTATTAACTCGTGCTCTAATACCATTCTGTCATGACCTGAACCCGCCCCCGTGGGTTAAGGACATAACCGGCCCGTAATCATGAGATTACCTACGGCTATTTTTAACAGAGATATAAGGGGCTAAACGAAAGCAGTTCAAAACTTTGTCCATAGAGCTGTGCTTATGTGACACATCCATACAACCAAACACATATACATTAATAACTCACAACAGAAATGCAGTTGCATAAGTTCTGTACAAACAGGATCATTCCAAAAACTAAGTCAACCCATGAAAACTATATACAACATATACAAAGACTTCGCCAATATGACAACATAAAACAAAATGACAAAAGCGAAGGCGAGTCTCATGTGTGAGACACATTGGCTGACTCTCCAAAACTTGGTTGTTCCACACGAACTTTACTAGGGCTGGGTCTGGACCTCTCTTGGCTCACCTACAAACACATGAATGAGCGTGAGCGATAGCCCAGTGAATAATATCAAATGAAAAGATACAAACGATATGTAGAACAACCTACTCCGAACGGCCTTGGGCCCAATTCATATTTTAGATTAGCATTTATATACACAATTTAAGTCAAGTCACTGCGGTTCCAAACAAACTGGCCTTTGGCCCATTTATCTTTCATTCCTTTCAAAATGGCCTCTGGCCCACTCATTTATGTCAAAACGGCCTTTGGCCCATCCATTCATGTCAAAACGGCCTTGGCCCATCCATTCATGACAAAACGGCCTTCGGCCCATCCATTCATGATAAAACGGCCTTCGGCCCATTCATTCATGTCAAAACGGCCTTTGGCCCATCCATTCATGACAAAACGGCCTTTGGCCCATTCATTCATGTCAAAACGGCCTTTGGCCCATCCATTCATGTCAAAACGGCCTTCGGCCCATCCATTCATGACAAAACGGCCTTTGGCCCATCCATTCATGACAAAACGGCCTTCGGCCCATACATTCATGACAAAACGGTCTTCGGCCCATTCATTCATGACAAAAGGGCCTTCGGCCCATTCATTCATGTCAAAATAGCCTTCGGCCCATACATTCATATCAAAACGGCCTTCGGCCCATTCATTCATATCAAAACGGCCTTCGGCCCATTCGTTTATGTCAAAACGTTTGCCCATAATTCAAAAGGAAGTAAGCAATTGGACAAACGACAAGTTTCAAATATCGATATTACTCACAGTGATCGGTTGGTTGGTTTGCCCTGGAGCTCGACCCTACACATTTCATGAACACAAAAGGGTCACCAACAATTCAATCCGTTCGTAAATTCACATTTTCCTCTTTAGGCTTTATTCTTATCTGTTTAACTCATTTCCAATGTTTAACACATGCCTAAAGTGCTTGCAAGTGAAAGAGAACGGAAAACGAAACACAGAATGCGAAAACAAAATTTCAGAAAACAGGGTCCCCGCTCGAACGTGGACTTCCCCTCTCGAGCGGACCCAAGAGGCCTGCAAAAGTACTGGTTGCATGAAAAATAAGCTCGAGCGTGAAATAGGGCGCTCAAGCGGAAGGCCTGTCTACAAAAGCTCCCCGCTCGAGCGTGAAATATCCCGCACGAGCGGACACCAAGTCTGCAAAAAGTACTGGGAGCACGTATTTCCCGCTCGAGCGGCCATTACCCCGCTCGAACGGACATCAAAATTATGGGTTTCCCAGATTGTGTTCTTGAGTTCAAATTCGACCTTCAAGCTAACAATTCTTGCATGCAACGGCTCAAATCTCAAATATAATCATACTAACGTTGTATAAGCCCCAAATTACAACCTAATGAAGCTCAATTTCACAAATAAATCACATGCATGGCTCATTTTCCACCAAACTCATTACCAACATAACAATTTCATGCATTCAACACTTACATCTTCATAAATTTGTACATGCATGTGGTATACTACTCTCATTCCCAATTTATAAGATGAAGAGATGGTCAAGAACATGATCTTCAACTAAAAACTTACATGCATGAGTTCTAAGACTTCAAATTCGACAAAACAAACCCATCTCATGCTCTACGTCATCACACAACTTTGAACACCCAAGATTACACATTAAATTCATGAATTCAAGAATCAATGCTTACCTAGAAGCCCAATCTATGGTTAATTCTTGAACTAGACTTCAAATTCCCAAGCTTGAGTCAAAAAATACACAATTCTCTCCCTCTCTCTCTCTAACAGCCGGCTCCTCTCTCTTTCTTAGAGTTTGATCAGCCCAAATGAAGATACAAGAGGGAATGAGAGGTGTAGTGCTCTTACACAACAAATCCCACTAACCAAAATTACAAATATTAACAATTTGAGCACAAAGCCATTAAATAAATCAATTTAATCTGACCCGAATCAATTTTCAATTAAATTTCACCGTAGGCTCTAAAAATTACGCTAATCATAATGGCGCAATTAATTCCGGGTTCTGTGGCCGATAAGGCCTTCAATTTAATTTCCAAAGCAGATAATCAAACAAATATTCCTATGGTGAACAGATAGAAATTCAAAACCACATATATTCACATATTGGTACACAAAATCATATCAATCACATAATCATACTCAAATTAATGACCAATTAGCATACCACTGAACAGGGGTATCACATTCAGGTCAATGGGTTTTCTTCCACAAGCAATTTCCAATAACGCAACTCCAAAACTATAAACATCTAATTCTTTACTTCATTTGCTTGTCATGAGGCATTCCGGTGCAATGTAACCCATAGTCCCTGCCAAAACTATTGTTTGTAACTCTTTTCCATGGCCAACAAGTCTGGCTAACCCGAAATCCACGAGTTTAGCATTGAAATTTGAATCCAACAAGACATTGCTTGGTTTGACATCCCTGTACGCCACACATTGCTTCCTTTCTTCATGGAGATAAAGCAATGCCGAGGCCAAACCTTGAGCAATTTTGTGCCTTATTGCCCATGTCAACAAACTTTTTTCTTTGAAGAGATGGTAATCTAAGCTTCGATTTTCCATGAACTCATAAATAAGTAAGAGTTCTCTTTTGTTATCACACCAACCAACTAGTTGTAGAAAATTTCTATGCCTCAACCGACTAAGGATCTTCACTTCTGATGTGTACTCCTTTCTTCCCTGTTTTGATCCCTTTGATATCCTCTTCACAACAACATAGGAATTGGATTCCCTCAAAAACCCTCTATAAACCCCATCAAATCCTCCCTCTCCAAGCTTTGGTTCCTCCGCGAAGTTATTTGTTGCACAAAACAATTCACCATATGAAAACTTCTTCAACCCAGTACCTGCCTCAAACGCATTGTCTATGGACATATCAAGGGCAAACTCCTCATCTTCTTCTTGTGCTATTCTTTTCTTCCACAAGACAAAGCCAAGCAATGCCACCCCACCAACCAAAACAATTGAGCCAATTGGCAATCCAGCCATGGTTGGTTGTAAGGAAAATCTTTGATGATTTTGGAGGTATATATGCTGTTAGACATGTAAAAATAGACTTATCCAATTACTTATCAATTAATTGTTCAAAAGTCATGTGATTTGTTGAATTGTCTTTGGGTATTGTTTTCAACCATAATGTTACACTTATCATCTTTTTTACAATAAAGCTCTTTTTATCTTTGTTGATAAAAATAATAATAATAATCTTTTTATTATACAAAAATAACTTAAACAAATTTAAAAAAAAAACTAATTATGTAAAAATTAAGAGAGATACTTTTAATTTCTAATTTCTTATTATTAGAACTTACAATAAGTTGAACCAAATAAATGCCTTTCGAGCATCCATACTTCAAAACCCAATATACGATGCTAGCAATCTCATACATAAAAACAGTAATCCTTTAAATGATTAAGGATTGAAGATGTTTTTCTTTAAACCAAAAAAAAAAAAAAATGGTGTCCAGTCCATTATCATTCTATTTCAATTTGGATTCCTTTCACATTCAAAATTACTTTTTCTCTGTCTCTCTGACGACGGTCACTATGGCCACTTAGACCATCTTTAACGATACCCCTTATATTTTTCTCAAATTTAGCTAAAATATGTCTTTTTTATTTTGGAAAATGAATCACTTTTTTAACTATCATCTCTGTAATCCTCTTTATTTTTTCCTGTGTATGTTTTAAATATTTTTTTTATTAGATTTTATCAAAAATATTTTTCCCTACTTTCTTCTCCCCCTTCCACCATTTGAAGAAAATATGAGAGATGAGAGAAAAAAAAATCATTTAATTATAGAGAGTAATTAAACTATGCTCAATGTAGGGAGGTGAAAGTACAGTTCCTTTAATTGAAAGTTGAAGAGGGAGGGATTTTTATTTTTTATTTTTATGAAGAGTAAGTGGATTGTTAGAGATGAATTTTTTGTGTTCTGACTTTTAAATTAGAGACAAAATGGGAATAAGAGGCTATTGAAGATTCTCTAACAAACATAAAATTATTGCTTCAACAATAATGCCATTGAAAAAGACTCTACCTCTTCAACAAGGAAACCACTGACTTCTCTCTTTTTGGGCCTCATACTCTCTTCTCATCGAGTACATCAATTACATATTTTTTTTAGAGTATATACCCTACTAATATAAAAACTTACTATTGGAATTGATAACTAACTTATAGTTGGCTCAAATACAATAAAATATATTGTCCGAGAAATTTTTGAAATCAAATTCAAATTTGCCCACCATAACATTATTATTCATATCTACAAAACTGATGTAGATGAGAGGTAGCTGCCAGAGTATGTTATTGTTGAACACAGTAGAAGCAACATTGAAAACCTGAAACACCCAAGTCATCATGACCATCTTGAACCTTGAATGAAAGCAGGCCCTCTACCTAAATTTTTGTTCTCCTGCACCTAATGCACTCTTAGTTGCACAATCATACCTCAAGATTCATGTGTGTTAAAGATTCCCACCACATCATATAATCAGGAATTTGGAGTGTATTAGGCACAAGGGGAATAAGGATCGAGTACAGAGGACCCCTTAGCTTATGAAAGTGGTGGTTATGTTTAAACTACTAGGGTTTGGTGTGTATTAGGCACAAAGGGAATAAGGATCGAGTACAGAGGACCCCTCTATTTATGAAAGCGATAGTTATGTCTACAACGACAAAACTACTAGGATTGTAGTGTGCTTGGAGGAGATGGTATGATAACTAGCGCTAGAGGATTCTATCATAATCCTCTTGGGAGCCGAGTGAGTTGGCATGGGCATTTTTGATGGAAGGCTAGGCAATGGAGCTTCCAAGTCAACAACTTGAATTGCTTGCTTTATTGAAGGCTTGAGATTGTAATCTGGGTGAGCACACCAAAGCCCAACAATCATCAAGTATTTTATCTGCTCCTCGTTAAAATCTCCCAGTTTCACTTCTGTTGCTCCAAGAAGGTTTCCTCTTCCATAAAGCTCCCAAACCCACTCTACTAGCCTTTCATGACCGTCCCTAGCTATGAGGTCAATAGGCTTTCTTCCGCAGGCAATTTCCAAAGAAACAACACCAAAACTGTAAACATCTAATTCTTTGCTAGCCTTGCTTGTCATGACACACTTGGGAGCCATGTAGATGTAGCCTATTGTTCTGGCTAGGACCGTGGTTTTTAACTCTTTTCCATGGTCAACGAGCCTAGCTAACCCGAAATCTCCAAGTTTTGCATTAAAATTTGAATCCAACATAATGTTGCTCGATTTAATATCTCTATGTAGCATGCATTGTTCCCATTCTTCGTATAAGTACAACAATGCCACAGCCAAACCTTTAGCAATATTGTACCTTGTTAGCCATGTCAAGAAGATGTTGCCTTTGAAGGGATGAGAACCCAAGCTACAATTGGGCATGAACTCGTACACAAGTAGGAGTTTTTTTCTTCCTTGCACCAACTGAGAAGTCGCACAAAATTTTTATGCCTCAACCAGTTGATGATCTTCACTTCTGACGCATACTCTTTAATCCCTTGTTCAGTTTGACACCCTCTTGATAGCAACATAAGCATTTAAGTCTCTCAAGAAACCTCTATAAACGCCGCCAAATCCACCGTGTCCGAGCTTCTCTCCCTCCACAAAGTTTCTTGTTGCAATGGCTAATTCTTTGTATGAAAACTTCTTAGGTCCTGTTTCTCCTTCAAACTCATACAAAACATTGAAATCATGATCATCTTTCATTTTAACCTTGTTGTGTTTCCACTTCTTGAAGCTAAACCAAAGCAAACCCAACCCACAAATTAGAACACAAACACTTACAATAGATCTAGCTAGTACCCCTTTTTTGTTTGTTCTATTTCTATCCTGGTTGGCAAATGCTGGCTCCAAACCAATTGGATTCAACAAATTTGGAGCGATTTGTATATTAGAAGTAAAATTCCAAAAGTGAACAACTTGTATCTTAGCTAACACTCATGTCGTTACAGTGAAGCCCAAAGTAACCCACTCTGGCAAATACGTGCTAAGATCAACTATATGATACAACTTTTGCAGGATTATGATGTTTTCATCAAGATAATCGGTGAATGCAATACTCAAAAATTTTCGAACTAGAATTGTAACTAATCCAGGCCTCATTCATTTTCCCTAAGGGGATTCGACTCAACCATGTCACATTTTTTACAGATTTAATGGAGTTGATGTCGATACCTACATGATCTGAGGGTGAATCATATTCCGGGTTGTGATATGATATGTGTCGAACTCCACTACCACAAATGGATTGGACGATGAGTTGAATGCTAGGTTGAATACTTGTTCACGGCTAACAAGGCCTATACCGCAGCCTTCTTGAAATGGAATTGGGAAACCAACCAGTGCGAGGAAAAATGTTATTCCATTAGCATATGAGGTTTTATTTTGTGAATCAATGACAAAGGAGAAATGGGTATTGAAGTCTGCAAGTGCTCCTCTTGAGGCCTTGTCCCAAAGCTGCATCGGTTTGAAGCACCTGGCCTGAACCACTTGTCATGGTTTTTTCATTTTGGTTTAAGGTTGGTTGGATGACTGTGTTGAAAGCTGAAGCATCTCCATCATATTCTTTGTCATGAATATTCAGATTGAAGCTAGTAAAGCTAAAAGAGAGTTGAGCAGCATCACAATAAAGGACTAGTGTAATAACCCTGACCCCTGATTAATGTAATTCGTGCTTAATTATGCCTAACAATAATTTAGGAAGGATTTGGATCTTATTTTCATGTGTATTGCATTACTTATGTGTTCCTATCTGTTTGCCATAAAATGATTTGTTCATGTTTTTGACTTTAAACTGCGAATTGAAAACCTTATCAGCGTCCGAATCAGAAATCGACTTGATTTATGTGCTAGTTAAGATTTATATATTTTTATGGTAGGTTTAATTAAAATTCGGTTCAGAGCGATTAAATTAGATTAAATTATGTTAATTTATACTTGTTTGAGTAAATTACCAAAATACCACATGGTGGGCCACTATCTAAACCAATGTTTAGACTTGAATTAGGTGTTTTGTTTTCATCACTCTTCTCCATCCACAAGACCAATTCGAGAGAGAGAGAGAGAGAGAGAGAGAGAGAGAGAGAGGAAGAGTAGGAGAATTTGAGTTCATCAAGAATTTGGCTAGGAAATTTGAAGAATTGAAGAAAGGATTGTATAATTAGGCTCCTACACCTTAACATTCAAGACATAAGGTAGAGAATTCATCTTCTCCATTGTGATTTTGAGTTACTTCTTGCATGGTTCATGGTGAATTAGAGTTTAGATTCAAGTTTTGGTTCTAAATGTTGAATTGAGTAGGAATTCTTGCATGCATGTGTATATCATGAAGTTTGAGGTTGTTTTCATAAGAATTCTTGCATGCATGTCCACATTTTTGTTATAGTCCATGAACTCACCATGTTTTGAAGTTAAATCTTGCATTTGATCTTGTTTAAGAACTTTGGAGTTTCAAGGAACCCATACATGTGTTGAATTTGCATTGTTCTTCATGTTCTTGAAGTCTATTTGAAAATTATGTTTAATTGAACTACCTTTGGGTTTTGATTTTTCAAATTGATCTTCAAAACATGTCATATTATGAGTTTACAAGTGTTTCCCAGAAAATTAGCCCAAAAGGATCAAATTTGATGCATTGTAGTTGAGTTTTTAGCTTGAGGTTCGAATTTGGAAATTCTAGATTTTGGACTCACACTCGAGCTGGAAACTCCACGCTCGAGCGTACATACTGAGTTCATGCAGTACGCTCGAGCGGGTAAAATGACGCTCGAGCAGGAATTTCGTGTATCCAGTGCTTTGCCTATGTTTACAGTCTGCTCGAGCGGGGTAATGCACGCTCGAGCGAGGACTTGTGTCTCACGCTCGAGCGGGTATCGATCACCCGTCGAACGTGAATTTCATGTATCCAGTACTTTTACTGTAGCTTAAAGTCCGCTCGAGCGGAGTAATCCACGCTCGAGCGGATTCCTTTTGTCTGCATGTCCGCTCGAGCGTAT